TGGGACACAGGACCAATTCCTGCTCCAATGTATTCTCCAGAGTAAAACGAGTCCCTTTTTGCTCTGGATCAGGACAGAAACCCCAGAGAATGCCCTGAATGTGTGGACTGCATGCCAGTGTGGGGACAGGGGGGAGAGCATTGAAAGGCTGGCGAGTCACTGACCACTTCCTGCCTGGAACTTCCAACTCCCTACCACAGCACTTTCACATGTTTCTTCCATCACCATTCCTTTTGCAGATATGTAAAACTGGTCATACAAGCACACATTCGCACAATGATATGTGTGGACAGTGCTGCCGGTATTAGCTTATTGTGAGTGCCAGTTGTGCAGACAGCTTGTCCTTCCTCTGGATTCAGACATCCTTATGGTAAGTCAGGTTTTCCCATCAGTTGGACATGGTCTAAGTAGGAGGCTATGCAGATGGGCAAAAAGAGGTGCTTTGTTGTGCGTTGTGGCTTTTAGACGACACATGCCTAAAAGTCACCAGGAAAGCGCCCTTTAGCCGTCATATGCCAAGAAAAGCTGCTCCAAAAAGGAGCCACTTATTTCCGTATGCAGCGCCACCAGTGCACCAGAAAACGGCTGTATAAATGCACCGCCGCATGTGCGGTGAAAATTGACATGGCAATCCAGAGCATGTGCTCTACAATGCAGGCTTTAATTTTAAGTGCCTTATGCTTCCGGGTGTGGATGCACTGGTGCAGGTACACTTGAATATTAGAACCCTAACCCTAATTGTAACCTTCCACATGCGCCCTAGCAACTGTCCTCTGTTATGACAATAAATGCATTCTTTGCATGTACACTTGCTGTCAGAATACCCAGTAGTTTGTATGAAAGAGGCTTTTGTAACCTCTTCTTTGCAGGTATGTAGGTGTGCATAAGACCTGCACACCACTTCCTGGCATGATGGGGGGGGGGCTCCTGGAGTAACGTTTGTCCGTGTGTCCTGTTGACCATGTCCCTTGCATGACCACCAGCTGCATGTATCAGGTCTGTCCACACAAACCTCCCTTGCATGTACCTCTCCCCTCCCCCCTGATCTGTGTGGGACATGTTTTGTGGAGGACGCTGAAGTAGGTGTCTTTTCAATTGACAAACCTGTTCCTTTGCCCCAAGGGTGGCACAATCAGACAGTGGCACCTGTCTACTTCATCCACTCCTTGGGGGAAGCAGAGGTCAGTGAATCCTTGCATGACCTGTTGGTGTATGACAGGTCCTGTGCAAGTGCACAGGGATGCCAAACTTCAGTCACTTTTGTGCACAGAGTGCCAGACTGTATGCCACCCTATAACAGGTCCTGTGCAAGTGCACAGGGATGCCTAACTTCAGTCACCTTTGTGCACAGAGAGTGACAGACTGTATAACACCCTATAACTAGGTCCTGTGTAGGTGTGCAGGGATGCTTTCCTGCACAGATGCACAGGTGTGGAGTGTTGGTCCTGCACACCTGCGCATGAATTTGAGAACCAAAACAAAACAAAATTAAAGAGCCACTGACGGCACATGCAGTGCTCCGTCTCCCTTTGGCGCTGGTGATGAAATTGCTGGGGCTTTAATATAGCCTCAGAAAAGCTGCATTGACTCCCTCCAGTGCAGTTGCTCCTTCCCCATTTAGGGCAACCTCAGGGAAGGCAGTGTGGTTGCTGCAGCTTAGGGAAAAGGCAACTTCAGGTCACCTTTTCCTGCCCATCTGCATAGCCCCTAACTACAAATCCCAATATTTCTTAGGATGGAAGCATGACTATTAAGCAGTATCAATTGCTTTGGTTGTGTAGCATTGGTACATTCATATGCCCATGCTTCAAAAATTTGGTCATCCTTTGGATATGGTCACTCTCCAAACAGAGTAAAGATGAATGATCCTATAGGCAGATTCCAATATGTATTACATTTCAAAAAATCAGAGACTTGAAAGGATGCTGCTATTTCCCTGCTCTGTTCCTTAAACAAGAACATCTGCAGTGGGTTCACTTGTTATTTGATATCACTGTAACCCGTGCTGTACATCACACTTCAGTGATAATTAGTGGAACAAATACAGCAAACCACCCAAAAAGGAATGTGCATGCAAGGGTATAATACAAACCAGACTCCAAAATTTGCATTTTCTTTATTTCCTTTTACTTAACGAATGGAAGACGAGCAGGCTGAATGTTTACACCAGCTGAGCCCCTTGAACGGGCCTACTCAGAACAGCTAAATCAACTCAGGAAAAAGCAGAACGCCATATGAGGATTAGGAATCTAATACTCCTTATTGGTTTGCAATCCATTTGTTGAAAACCAGGGCTTCAACAGGCCCACTTGGGATTTACATAGGAGAGAAGATGAGAGACTATGGGCCATTGCAGACGGGTGGCCATGGGCCGCCCTGAGAAGCAGTAGATTGGGGCCGAGGTTGCCCCATGCCTTGGCCCCAATCCACTCTTTTTCCGCTCCTTCCACAAGGTGCAGAAAGGGTGCCACAAGAGGCAGCACACCCCTCTTTTGCATCTCTTCTGGCTCAGCATGTTTGGATGCTGAGCCGGAAGGACGTCATTGGAGCGCCCACCGTGTGCAATGGCGGGTGCTCCAATGACGTCCTCGGGAAGGGGTTGGGGTGCCCGGCATCCAGTTACCCATCCCTTTCCTGGGATTGAAGTCGGTTTTCACCATCTGCATCCCCTGTATATCTTACCTGGAAAATAAAACTTATCTTTTAAAGAAAAGCTAAAGTTTTAAAATATAACATGGATTTGGATTGCAGGAACAGTCTTCATCTCAGAATACTCGAAATGATTTCCACTTTATGGCTGCAATCCCAAACTCAGTTTTAGTCATGTAAATTTCTCTAATTCCAGCAAGTTTTGTGGTGTATGTAACTGAGTCAGAAAATGGCAGCCATTATGTACACATTTGGGGTCGGGGGGACTACAGTAGCTTCTCTGTATCTTCTCTGTGTCTTTTGCCCAGATATTATAAGTAGATGTTCACCAGGTGCACCTTCCTCATCAACAAGAATTAGAGCCTATAGCACATATCAGTGCATTTAAGCACTTCCTAAGTGATTTACAATCTATAAGCTAATTGCCCCCAACAAGCTGGGTATTCATTTTAGTGATCTTGCAGAGGTGCCAGGCTGAGCCCCTGGCTGGCATTGAACTCACAACCTTATGGTTTAATTCAAAGATATAGCCATGAAAGGGGCTAAGCCGCCGAGCGGCCATGGGCCACCCTGGGAAGCTGCGCCGTGGGACCGAGGCATCCCCACATTTCGATCCCGCAGCGCAGCTTCACTGCCCCTGAAAGGAGTGCTAAATCAGCTCTCCTTTCACAAGTCACCGAAAGTGCACCGCAAAAGGCTGTGGCGCACTTTCGGTGACTCTTCCGCCGCAGCGTATCCAAATGCTGTGGCAGGAGGTCCTCCTCAGAGCACTGGCCGTGCGGAGGGCTGGCTGCTCCAAGGACGACCTTAGGAAGGGGTTGGGGCACCAATTTTGTGGCTGCCCCTCCCCTTCCCTGTCCCCAAGACAGCCTTTTAAGCCGTCTGCTTAGGGGGTTAGTCTGTAGAATCAGTGTGTAGACAGATTGTTGCACCTTTGAGACTAACAGAAACAAATTGACAGCATGAGCTTTCATAGACTTCAGTCTACCTCCTCAGATGCATTTGGTGGAGTGGAAGCCAGGCACAGACATGTATATGCCATTGGTATGTGAGGATGTCAATTCAAATTCAAAATCCTTTGTGTATGGAAATGAAGTTGCAGGTCCAGTTTTAACAATGGTCATTAGTGCACAAAGGCAAAGGAAACTGGTCTTTGTTTATGGAGATGAACTGGCAGATCCAGTTTTGCAACAGGTCTAGCCTGTGGAGACTAGATGAATGATGTTAGCCTTTTGGTTGCCACGAGGTTCCTCTCATTCTTCAGTGCAAGAGACAAAATTCAGCTGCCTTCTGCCAGGCCTCCCCTGCTGCCTTCTGACTCTTGAGATGAGCTGGTGGCCTCTGAATGCACAAGGCAGTTGATCAGGGGCTCCATGAAATGGTTGGCAGAGAAGGCTCATTCTTTGGCAGAGAAGGCTAAATATCTTATGAAACTACAAATCCCAGGATTCCATAGGATGGTGGTACAGCACTTAAAGTGATGTCAAACTGCATTATGTCTAAAGGGTAGATGCACCCATGTCAAATTGATTCAGGTGTTTGTGTAAAACAGGACTTGGTGTAACCACATTACGGGCCTAAGCAGATGGGCGGCTGTAGGCCACTCTGGGAAGCTGCGCTGCGGGACCGAGGCATCCCCATGCCTCGTTCCTGCGGCGCAGCTTCGCCGCCCCTGAAAGGAGCGCTAAATTAGTGCTCCTTTCACAAGTCAGCAAAAGTGTGCCGCAAAAGGCTGCGGCGCACTTTTGTTGACTTTTCCGCCGCAGCGTGTCCGAACGCTGCAGCGGGAGGTACTTCTCGGAGCACCAGCCGTGCGGAGGGCCGGCTGCTCCGAAGACGACCTCGGGAGGGGCTTGGGGCGCCGAGCGTGCGACTGCCCCTCCCCTTCCCTGCACCGAAGACGGCCTTTTAAGCCATCTGCTTAGGCCCTACCTCCCTTATTTTAATTCTCCAGCTAAGTAAAATAGAATGAATTGGAGTGTGGCAGACATCCTATAAGTGCATAGGTCCCCATTTAGTGGGTGATTTTCTTGCCCTTGCACTCTTTCCAAAAACTTCCCATGCCCTGTAGTGTCAAGCCTGGGACAGGTCTCTGCCACTGTCATTTACTAGTGAAGAAGGAAGGAAAGAGGGAGGTAAGGCCCCCAAGAATCCATAAATATTTCCCCAGTGGAGAATGCATGTGTGAGTATATGTGTCTGACACAGATACAGATTTTCAAAATTATTTATACTGAAAGAAGCTGACATTCCAATTTCATCCAAAAACATAGGCATCCAAAACAAAAAAATAAGTAGCATACAAATTAAAATTGCACAAGAAATTTTAAAGAGTATGAGCTTATTGAGAGAGCCAGAGTGGCATAGTGGTTTAAGTGTTGGACTATGACTCCAGAGATCAGGGTTCGATTCCCAGCTTGGCCATGAAACTCACTGGGTGACCTTGGGCAAGTTCCATGCTCTCAGACTCCTCAGGTGAGGGCAATGGCAAACCTCTGAACAAATCTTGCAAAGAAAACCCCATGGTAGGTTTGCCTTAGCATTGCCATAAGTCAGAAATGACTTCAAGGCACATAACAACAACATGAGCTTATTGAACTCAATGAGCAATATCTAATAGGGTGATTCAGCTGACAAAACTGCTTACATCAGCAAAACTCCTGGTTTAGGAGCTGGTCTCCAGCCAATGTGGAAAGCTGCACGCAACAAGAAAGAAAGTTTTGTTCTGCTAGCAGTCAGGGCTAGCACAATATTAGATTTAGGCCAGTGCTTTCAGTTAGAAATGCAAACCATTTTTTAGAAAGCTTTTAAACAGAAATATGAAACTCTGAAAGTGATTCCATAAAGACCCCGTCACATAAAAGATGAGCCATGATCTTGGTCCCATCACCAGGCATAGGGACAGAGCTTTCTTGGTAGTTGCTCCCAGGCTATAGAATTTGTTGTCAAAACAGACTAATAATAATAATAATAATAATAATAATAATAATAATAATAATAATAATAATTTCTTATACCCCACCTTTTGCCTTGGCAATCAAGGCGGCTTACAAGTACAAATACACATTAAAAACATATATGCCATAAAATCGTAACACAATACTCCCCTTATAATACAAAATAATATAATATTATAATATTATAATATTATAATACAATATAATACAATACCCCCCAATACTAGGCTGGTCCACTCTCTGTTCTCCTTCTGCTGACATGTAAAAAACATTTCTGTTTGAACAAGCATTTAGTAACTAAGCACGGTCTTCAAGCCCAGGAAGGGGAGAGGCAGCCAGATGCCAGGCACTTCAACCCCTTCCTGTGGACGTCATCGGAGTACCCGCTGTGATGATGTCCTTCTGTCACAGCGTCCAGAAACTCTGTGATGGAAGAGGCATGGAAGAGGTGCCCTTTCCATGGCTTGATGAAGGAGTGCTATTTTAGCACTCCTTCCAGGGCCACTCACAGAGTGGATTGGGGCTGAGGAGTGGGGCAGCCTCAGACCCAATCCATGACTTCTCGGGGCAGCCCATGGCCGCCCATCTGTAGACGCCCTAAGGGATTATGTGAAAAGGTTTTTAATAAATGCTGTACTTTTATTTTTATGGTTTTAAATTATCTTACATTGTTTGGTGCTTTAAGGTGGCAGTTTATTTGATTTTTGAAAACTTTTTACTACTAAAATTCATGTACCTTGATTTAATTCATGTGTGAGCAACCTTTGGTCTCATTTGGAAGAAGGGTGGATGAATAAATAGGAATGGAAAGAAGTATTACATTCTCTAATAAGTGTGCTAACTGGCCACAGTCAACAGCAAAACATGAAAGCATTACCACTCCCTTCACTTGCCAATACAAAGAAGTATGGTTAATAACTTGGCCAGTCCAGTAGATGAAATCCTTGTTCCTGATATGAAACAAATCTAGAGCTATGTTCTTTATTTTTCTACACTACACATAGGTCAAAAGTAGGGAACCTCAGGTCTAAGGGCTAAATCTAGTTTTCCAGAGATCTCACACCAGTTCTCTAGAGTATCCTAGATGGCCATGTCCCTTTCTCCATGATACCATCAATGATACCATCATTGGATGGGTTCTTGGTTTTTGTCAGGTTATTCTCCCCTCTCCTATTCTAAAAGGTTGAATTTCTTAAATTTTTGTTAATCTCAGCAATATAAGCTATAGTATGGTATGTCTATGGTAGTGACCATTCTCATGACAAAATGTTCTTCTTGGCCTCAAAAGTCTATGTCAGGGGTCGGCAACCTATGGACCGTGGGCCGGATGTGGCCCATGGAGGCCTTTGGACCGGCCCCTGCCTGGTCCTGCCGCCGCTGTGCCGCCACCGCCGTTGCCTTTCGCAGCCGCAGGGCTCCTCCGGGACCTGGAGTCTTGCATGACTTTTCCTGTTGCAGGAAAGGTCATGCAAGACCCCGGGGCACCATTTTGGAATCTAAAATGGTGCCCCGGAGGAGCCCTGCAGTGGTGCTGGCCCTCTCGGAGGCTCGGCGCTGCCGAGGGAAGCCTCCTGGATGGCCCCGGTGGTGGCGCTGGGCCTCTCAGAGGCCCAGTGCTACCAAGGGAAGCCTCCTGGGGGGCACCCGCAGTGGTGCTGGGCCTCTCGGAGGCCTGGCGCTGGCGAGGGAAGCCTCCTAGGGTGCACCCACAGTGGCGCTGGACCTCTCAGAGGCCCGACGCTGCCAAGGGAAGCCTCCTGGGGGGCACCTGTGGTGGTGCTGGGCCTTTCGGAAGCCGGCGCAGCCGAGGGAGCCCTCCTGGGGGGGCTGCCATCATGCACATGTACACGCAACGTGGAGGGGCGGCGGCTGCTATGTTGTTTTTCAAAATAGCGGCGTGCACACGCACCAGCGCCCAACACCATTCCCCTCCCCCGGCCCATCGGCATAAAAGGTTGCTGACCCTTGGTCTATGTGGTCTAAATCCAGCATACCATATAAAGTCTCATTTCTGAGTATAATATTTTCATGAAGCTTGATATGGTACAGCAGAACAGAGCGACAGTGGTGGACAATTGTCACCCTCCAGAGGTTTTTGGATTGCAACTCCCCAAATCCCCCACAATTGACTATGTACAGTAAAGCTCATGGTAGTTGTGCGACAAAAATATTTGGAGGACTACAATTGCCCACCTTGATCTACAATTAAAAAAGGCAGAGTTAGAACCCATTTAAGTCATATTTTTAATACACCTATTTGAATCAACAAGTGTACTTCAGTTATAAGTTTTATTTTAAACTATACATCCCTAGAAAAAGTGTCTCTAGCATTTATCTCATGAATTTTAATAGCTTCATAAGAGCTTACAGTGAGTAAATCCCTGGTACCCACTGTGGCTTGACTGCAGGTTCCCCCATGGATATCAAAATCCCAAAATCCGTGGATGCTCAATCCCATTATATACAATGGAACAGTAAAATGATGTCCCTTATATAAAATGGCAAAATCAATGTTTGTTTTTTAGAATATTGTTTTAGTATTCTCAAGCCGTGGATGGTGGAATTTGTGAATGCAGAATCCATGGATATAGAGAGCCAACTGTACTTATCTCTCCAGACATTTCAGGAAATGTTGACTTTTCTGCTTCTTTAGTGTATTATTCAATTTTTAGAGGATGATTTCTAGTATTCAATTTTATTTCCAGAGTCATGTTTTTCTCAGGAGATTAGTACACATACAAAAAGACCCAGCTTACCTCTTCCAAATTGGAGCCCAATTTGGGCTGAAGCTGAGTCTTATCACATAGCTTTTCCAGAATAATTTGGCTTCTGAGTGCATCCCCGCTCCAATGCGGATCCAAAAACGCACTCCCGCAGCCATTTTTTAAAGTCAGAAACTTCCGACTTTAAAAATTGGCCACCGGAGCACATTTTTGGATCTGCATTGGGGCTGGGATGTACTCAGAAGTCGAATTAACCTGAAACAGCTATGCAATAAGACCCAGCTTCAGCCTGAATTGGGCTCCAATTTGGAAGAGGTGAGCTTGGCCTTTTTGAATGTGCAATAATCTCCTCAGTCTCTCCTGGAAAATACACAAATACAAATTGACTGAGAAATAAATCCTATTGATATGAATAGCTTTTCTGAACAACCAACGCTGGATCAAATTATAAGACAAATGTTTACCTGGAATCAAATGTGTATTCTGTACACAAGAATTACTTTGTCCTGATTATGAGATCAAACATTCTTTATATACCTTGCGAGCTGTGCTAGGTCTGTATACACCCTTTCAAAATTCCACAGCAAATTCCCTTGAGCTGTATGAGAGTGAGAAAGTATGTAAAAAAATATGGTTGTGTTGCTCTGCATTCAACCATGACTTTGGCATTTCCTGACTTCTCAAAAGGAAAACACACTGTTGGCAAAGCTCCATTGACTTCAGTGAAGTCACACCAGGAGCAAAGTTAGTTCTACTTGGGTTTCAACTGCACAACTGTAAAATTACCACAGGGAAAAGAATTTGAACCTCTTGGTTGTTGTTGTTTTTTTAAAGAAATATTGGGAGGTGGCATTCTTAAGAGAAAGCCCTTCAGAATGCATACATTTTGCTGAAGGATCCAGTTTCTTCATTTATTAAAAGGAATTATTATGTAAAAGAAACATTCAGATAAATCCCCCCCCCACTCTCAGTTTTGGGATTTTCACTGATAACTTCAATTGTGCTGTAATTCCACACACACATCTTCCATTTCCACTTCCTGTAAGTATTATGGACCTACACTAACTATTATGGAACTATTCCTCTTGTCCCCCGACATTTAAACTCTCACACGGTTGCCCTGAATCACTTAAACAAAAAGCAAAGGCAAGGAACAGACCAGGAGCTAAAAATAAAAATACTCGATGACTGTATCCCCACTGCAGAAGTAATCAAGTTGGTGCCACAAGAAACTACAATTCCCAGAATTCCATAGAAGTGAACCATGGCATTTAAAGTGGTGTCAAACCAGATTATTTCTGCTGTTAGATGCAGCTAATAACAACACTTTCTGAGAATGAGATGTATCATCATCATCATCATCATCATCATCATCATCATGACATACTAATTCAAAGACTGTCACATTTTCCCTACAGTGGGCCTTTGGCATGTGCTGGGGGATTAAAAAATCCCTTGTGGATACCAAAATGTATGGATGCTCAGGTCCCACTGTATACAATGGCTGTATAAAATGGTATCCCCAATGTAAAATGGCAAAATCAAGGTTTGCTTTTTTAGATTTTTCTCTTAATATTTTCACACTGTGGATGGTTGAATCCATGAATAGGGAGGGATGACTGTGTTCGGAAAAAGCCTGCCTCATACATCTTCTACCCAGGCTATCTCAAAGGCTATATCTCCCTATATGGACATGCTTAAGTTTTAAGGTCCTCAAGGGACAGCTTTATCTTAGTCCCACCAC